GAAATCACTCAAACATTTTATTGGTGTGACTCCACAATCACTTTATCCTGGATAGCAGGTGAACCTTATCATTGGAAAACCTTCGTTGCAAATAGGGTGGCCCATATACAAACCTTAACAAAAACAAATCAATGGCATCACATTAGTTCATCGGATAATCCTGCGGATATAATTTCCAGGGGAATGAAACCGGAAGAAATTTTGTCATCATCTTTATGGTGGTCTGGGCCAGTGTGGTTAAAAGATGATCAAGAAAGCTGGCCTGCATCAAATATAAAAATAAGTGAAAAAATTCCAGAAAGAAAAACGAACTCCAACGTTACTTTAATAGCAACTGAAAATGTAAATAACTGCAATATTTTCTCATTGTATTCATCATTAAATAAGTTACAACGTATTGTAAGTTTAGTTTTACGATTCAAAAATAATTGTAAAAATAAAGCAAATAAACAAACTGCTCATTTATCTATTCAAGAGTTGAACAGTGGTCTTAATTGTCTCATTAAACTTTGTCAAAAACAATCATTTTCAGATGATATTGACCGTCTAATAAAAGATAAATCATTGAAATCTCATAATAAGCTTGTATTTCTCAATCCATTTTTAGACACTAATAATATTTTAAGAGTAGGTGGAAGAATCAAACACTCCAATTTTGATTTTTCGCAAAAACATCCAATCATTTTGCCATCAAATCATGTACTGACAGAACTAATAATACGACACCAGCATTACAAACTCTTGCATGCTGGTCCGCAAGCTCTACTTGCCAATATTCGGTTAAATTATTGGCCCATATCTGGCAAAAATCTAGTCAAAAAAGTGATTAGAAAATGTACAGTTTGCTTTCGGGTGAAACCAACTTTCATTAATCAATTAATGGGGAATTTACCTAAAGAACGTGTAACCCCCTCTAGACCATTTCTATATACAGGAATTGATTTTGCGGGTCCTTTTTCAATTAGGGTCAGTAATCTGAGAAATTCAAAAATAATTAAAGTTTTTCTTTGTATTTTTGTGTGCTTCAGCACAAAGGCTTGCCATATTGATGTGGTAACTGATCTTAGCACAAATGCTTTCATAAACTGTCTCAAAAGATTCATCGGCAGGCGCGGTAGGCCCGTAAAAGTATTCTCAGACAACGCCACCAATTTTGTAGGAGCAGATAATGAGCTCCAAAAATTGATCGCTTGGATTTTTGATCAAAATACTCAACTTGACATTATCAAGTATCTTTCATCTGAATCAGTCTCGTGGCACTTCATTCCAGCAAGAAGTCCACATTTTGGAGGAATTTGGGAGGCTGCAGTAAAGGCAGCCAAATTTCATTTAAAGAGAGTAATGGGCAATTCAATATTAACTTTGGAACAATTCAGCACAATAATTATTCAAATTGAAGCTTGTTTAAATTCAAGACCATTATTTCCAATTTCCTCGGATCCTGATGATTTCCTAGCATTAACCCCCGGCCACTTTCTGATCGGTAGCCCTATCACTGCTCTCCCAGAACCTTCTTATCTAGATATATCAATCAATCATCTTAGTGAGTACCAGAAGCTTAGTCAAATGGTTCAACGGTTTTGGTCCAGATGGTCTTCAGAATACGTTAGCCAAATGCAACACCGTACCAAATGGAAACTGAAGTCCCAACAAGAAATAAAACCAGGACAATTAGTTTTACTCAAAGAAGAAAACCAGCCACCACTAAGATGGAAACTAGGAAGAATCCTTCAAACATTTCCTGGCAATGATTCACTGACGAGAGTGGTTTCAATCAAGACTTCAAATGGCACAGTAAAACGTGCTATAACCAAAATTTGCATTCTCCCTCTTGAAGAACAAACTAACTAATTGAAACTACAGAGTTTCAAGGTGGGCGGCATGTTGTGACGTCATCACTGTGTCACCTGAAAAATGAAACATCTGGCAACAGCGCGCTGTCAATAACCAGAAGAGAGAGAAAAGGCAACCAACGAAAAACGACAGAAGGCGGCACCATGTTGATTCCCTCCGAGCAACCGACAGCAACAACATGCTCTTATTATCATTTCTATTGAATTCTATTTTTTTATTAAAATTATTGTAAAATAAACCATCAACAATACAGTCCACTCAATTATTCTATCATAATAACAACATTAAACAGTAGGTAAAGAAGCAGGTGTGTTTAAAAATAAATAGGCATTTTTAAACATTGAAATGGGTGTTATTCTGTAACACTGAGATCAAATTCAAAAAATTGAACGGCAAAATGTACAGATCAAACAGCCCTTTAAAATAATCTATCACTCGACCCCTTGTCTCATTTGAAAATTTTGGGGAGGTAGCCCTAGGGCTTAGGGGGTTGAAGGGGCGAAGTTCAGTTTTACGTAAAAAACCTTCCCCCTCTATAAATTTCTTGACATGTTTCGGCGATTTCCGCAAATATGCCTCTTTACGCAGATAACATGGGTGGCAAGTTTTGAAATGAAAGCCCTGTATATAACTAACGATCTAAAATGGGAAACACATATAGGACACATAGTAAAAAAGGCCAACTAGATGTCCTACTTGATGAAACTAGCCTTTGCAAACCATTCCATTAGCATGATAAAAAAGCTTTACACTACTCACATCAGACCCATGCTAGAATATGGCCATACAGTGTGGAACCTACTATATTAAAGACATCAAACTTTTGGAGCGAGTGCAATGTAGAATAACTAAAATTCCACTTGGGATTAGACACTTACCTAAGGATACCAGGCTACAGAAATTCAATTTACAGGATTTTAGGTTCAACAAGTTAGGGTAGTACAATCTTGTACTATATGAAATAGGGATGTAAATAGCACACCCGGTTCAAGAGTTGTAAGCATTTAAAATGAGTCACTCTCGGCTGGGACACCCTGTAATATGGATTTTTTACTTGAATGATTAACTTTATATTCTGCTGGTGGTCTCTATACTTCACCTTTCCCAATAAAAATGCAATTAACACCCATATGCACCGTATGGACTTGGGAGTTTAATCTCGCTCAGTTCGAAAATTTGTATATAAAAAAATAATCCTAATCTAGTTTTAGCAACTTATCTGGATTAAGTTCTTACGGTGCACATGAGCGTAATACACCCCCTTTTTTTTCTCTCTCGGACTATTAGGAATAAATCTAAAAAACCTATTGTCCGTCGCTTTCAATCTGACACTTTCCCTATAAGGAGCAAGGGGGTGAAGCTTATGGTAAAAACAGGTGTGACGTCAGGTGACTTGTGGCGTTTTAATGTAGGGAATCACCAGCTCACATTTTCCTTTTTTTTGAAAGTTTAACCTTAAGCTAATTATATTTTTCGGGCTTACGCTGACGCTGTCTCTGGTCAGCCCTACAGCTGTTCCAGAGAAAAAGTAGTGACCTATTCTGCAGAGTTACAGCATCCACTTCCGTAGCAGTTAGGCCAGCACAGTCACTACAAAAGTATAGGTGGCAGGCATCGCAGGGAGTACGAAGGAGTTCCCCCTCCTTTGAGTTTGGCCGACGTTTGAAAATGCATTAAGATTGGCAAATTGAACAGTTTGAAGCCATAGCTCTATTTAAAGTTCTCCACAGATATTGAGCTGATCTGCTAGAAGGAGATATAGAAAAAGAAAAAGCAGTCCCAAAACTGTTTAACCAGCATCGGAAGACACCTGACATTTACCTTCAAAAAAAAAACACCTGAGCATATGAGACTATTCTTGAAAACGGGTTGACATCACATGTCATACCAATATATAAAGAAGGAAAGGAAGGAAGTAAACCAGACGAATTAGCCTGACGTGCTTTCTATGCAAAGTGCTGGGAAAGATCCTAGCCAAAGTGCTCATAAGCTTCGTCCTAGCTAACAGATGTCCAACACAACGTCTTATCAGGCCGCTCAAAAACCACAAATCTCCTCACTTGCTTGAATGAATGGACTTTGTCGCTAGATAATGGCCAGCCAATGGATATTTTGTACTTGGACTGCAATGCTTTTGATAAGGTTCCTCATAAGCGTTTAACATACAAAATAGATCACTTTCTGGTCATTGGAGGGAAAAATTTTCCATTTATTGAAAAAACTCATAGCTCCACAACTTTTAGGCTAAGAGCGGATGGTCAGATCAGAGCCAAAGTCAGTTCATAGTGGAGTTGTCCAAGGGTCCCTTGTAGAAGACTGGAAGATGTACTGCAACCCACTGATGGTTCTGGGACAAATTCATGTCAGACATAAGAACTTTAGAAACATTGGCAGTGCTGGCTTATGAAACTAAACACGAACAAGTGTACCTGACTTCAAATTGGAAGAAATGACCCATATATGCATCATAGAATACTAAGCTCTCAGAATTCACAGAACAGAGGGATCTGGTGGTAGTGATAATAACAGAATACCTGAAATGGAGAATCCATATAGCTCAAATGGTGAAAAAAGTGAACACTCTGATAAACCTGAAAGCTTTCAGCAACAAATCTGTAGAATTTATAAAAAAAATCTATTCCTTCATTCGCCCAAAGCTGGAGTACTGTCACACAATAGAGAACCCATACAACATTTGTACACTTGCATAATTTTGATGATGTTTATTATTTTCATTTTCCTTCAATGTACCTACCGAGTTAAGCACCCCATTTCCCAAGTTTCCTAGTTTTCTTCTATATTGCGCTTGGGAGTAGCTTTTAAAGAGCTTTAAACGAAATACTGATTTTACATTATGTTTGTCCAAAGAGAAAGTACATAACTATATAATTTGGTTCTTTTCAGCCTTGAAAAACACCTGATAATAAGTTGAAACGTTGGCATTTTTTGATAAGAAAACATCTTTGATTTTTTTGCCATAAACCCGCAATACCTACTCCCTCAATCCTCGACAAAATGCTCAAACTTTAAGCAAGTATTTATTATTATTATTATTATTATTATTATTATTATACAGGAGTCTTAAGTCATTTTTTTTAATAATTAATATAAATTAATATCAGTTAATTTTGGTTTTTTTTTTTCAGAATTTATGTTAAGACAATCTTTCTTGTGGGGCACCAAGTCCAACCCAAGTCTATGTGTTGGCTTAAGAATAGGTATTTTGCCAAAAGAAAATAAACTAATTATAGCTTGTGCTTTGGACAATTCAAAAATTCAAATTATATTGCAAAACGAGGAAAATAATTGGATTAAGTATACCACGCTTAGTGGCCATGAGGATTGGGTTAGAGGATTGGATTTTACTGTTAATGGTAAAGTGATGTTTGTTTTTTTTTTTGGAATTCTATAAGAATTAAGTTGTTTTTTTTTTAGAATCAGGAGATTTATTATTAGCCTCTTGTTCGCAAGATGGTTCTTTAAGATTATGGTGCATTTTGAGTACCAAAGATAATGAAAATAAAGACTTTCCGTATAAGATTCTTTTAGAATCTGTGTTAAATGGGCACGAGGGATGGGTATACTCTGTTAATTGGAGTCCAACAAATATGCAACTTTTGTCTGCCTCAATTGATAAAACAATGATTATTTGGGAATTCGATAAGGAATCAGGTAAGAATTGGTTGTTAAAATTGCAATTATTTATATTACAAACTTCTCAGGTTTATGGTTGGAAAGTATGAGAGTTGGAGAAGTAGGCGGTAACACTTTAGGATTTTACGGTGGATGTTTCAACTCAACCGCTGACAGAATAATAGCTTACAGCTATCATGGAGCTTTTCATATTTGGACAAAAGGGGAAAATGGGCGCTGGCTTCCAGATGTTACTGTTGGAGGTCATTTTGGAGCGGTTGTTGATTTGGCTTGGGAACCACAAGGAGACTTTTTATATTCGGTTAGCGTTGATCAAACTGCACGCATCCATGGGCCGTGGCAGAAAGAGAATAAAGAGGTCAATAATAAATATTTTCTACAGTTGTTCATAACATATTCATTATTATTTATAGATAACTTGGCATGAAATTGCCAGACCCCAAGTCCACGGTTACGATTTAAGTTCTATGGCAGTAATATCAAGATATAAATACGCCTCAAGTGCAGAAGAAAAAATTGTAAGAACCTTTGAAGCTCCGACAATATTTATCGATAATATGAAAAGATTATGTCGCATAAGTGAAGGTGGAGACACCACTTCCGACATGCCTAAAGGTGCTTCAGTGCCGTCTCTAGGTCTATCAAACAAAGCAGTATTTATCGATGATAATTTAGAAGACACTGTGGGAATGGATAAAAATAATCATTTTCCTGAAGAATCTCATTTTGTGGCGCAAATATTGACAGAGCCACCTACTGAGGAAACTTTGTTGCAAAATACTCTATGGCCCGAAATTCAGAAGCTGTACGGACATGGTTATGAGGTTATTTCATTGGCAGCTTCAAGTGACGGAAATTTTTTAGCTTCAGCGTGCAAATCTACAAAGCTAGAACATGCGGCAATTTTTATTTGGTAAGTAGAACTTTTGTATGCCAATACAACAAAGATTGAAGACAGTGGCGTATCAACCCAGCTTTGGGCCTGTGTGCCAAAATTTTTGCGGGCCCAACACAAGCGGAGGCTAAATTTTTTTTTGAGTAACCCAAACTAACCCAAATTTCGACCCAAAAGTCACACACTCCTAAAATTTTTTATTAGGTAGGTATTTTTATTTGAACTTTGAATTTTGAATTCACCATTTTCAAAAGTGGTATGAATATCCTGTTCACAATCCGATGTCCACAGGTGCAGATAAATTTATCACCATAGGCGCAACTAGGGGAATGCTTGGGGGTGCTAAGCACTCCTAAAGCAAAAATTAGCACTCCTATTCGGCATCCCACCATAGCACTACCTAACCTTTATATAAAAAATTTAGTGCAACCAAATTATTTGATGTATTTTTTTGCACTTTTTGTACTTACTTACGTCATCGATGACGTCATAATTTAGAAATAGTAGATTATACCACGAGTCAATAATGATAGCTATTAGGGAATAATAGCCATTATTGCGAGTAGTATACTCTACTTTATTTACGACAAATTAATTTATTTGAGATTTTCAATGAACAAATTTCATCCGTCTCATATTTTTCAATAGAAATCCACAAGCACTACACGTTTGACACTGACACTTTTGTGGAATAATGACCATTAATCCCGCTACTCGTCATTAATCCCTGGAGGAATAACATAATGTCATTATACTGCCAAAATCACAAATATAATACGCACATTATACATTAGTCGTAAATAAAAAGTATTTCTCGTTGATTAATTCATAGAGCATGTTCGCAATTATTATCGTTAAAATCAAGACTTACCTTAAAATATACGGTTTTTATCTTATATTAACATTTAGGATGACGTCATCGAACAAGGTCAGACAATGTTGTCAATGTCTATGTTTATTCTATATCTTAAGGTGACATTGAAATACCGGCTCTTAAAAAATCATTGGAGTTCCAAATATATAAATTAATTAACTGCGTATTATACAGGGTGTTCTTAAATATCATGTACAAACGACAAAGGATGATTCTTTTTTTTACAACTGAAATTTCAAATATGTTCTAAAAAATTGACTTATTTAAAAAAAATTCACCCTCTTACATTTTAATTTTTTTCTAGAAAACTTGCAAAGGGAAAATTTTGAAAATTTTCCAGGAATAAGAGGAAAATGAGGAGCTCATTTTACGAAAATTTCAAAATGTTCCAGTAAAAAATCACTTCAGGAAAAAATCTGAAAAATTGACTTTTTCAAGTAAAATTAGAGATGTAAGTTTTCATGAAATTTTCAAATTTGAAATTTTTCGTGAAACTTTTCATGAAAAGTTGAAACCCCCCCCCCAGACAAAGATTTTTTTATACATTTATTAATTACAACAAAAGACAAGTTCTACAAAGTAAAGGATTGAAGGCATCATATGAATATGATAGGCTCACCAGTACCGACGTACCATCGTCACCAAAAGTATCTGGGACACAAATAATGCATGATAATCTCCTGGACTGATTTTACTGTCATTCATATCAATGCATTTGATTCATGTTTGACAAATATTTGACAATACAATTCATATAATAGGACAAGAGCTAATATGATGCTGTCCCAGTTACTTTTGGTGACGATGGTACGTTCTGACATTTAATAATTTGCCTGTCATCCATTACCCCCCCCCAGAAAATCATGTATGGACCGCCACTGAATTCCATTGATAAAGCAAAAAAAAAAAAAAGTCTAAAATTAATTTCCTATATCCTAAAAATGTATACTAAGTTAAAATTTAGATGTCAGTGTTGAGAGTAAAAATAAGACAAAAAACTAGAAAGACAAGCAATAAAATAACAATGAGAATTCTATATACAATCAACAACACCTGAACAGTTTACAATACATAAATAAAAGAACGTTATCATGGGCTAGATTTGATAGCGTCCAGATACCTAAGCAAATCCAACACAGAACCGACGAGTCAGCGCGGGATGGTAGCAAAATTTCTAAAAAACAATCATCACTATAAATAAAGTCAAACACTACATGAATCAGTTAAAGCCTATTAAAAATAAATAATTTAGTTATTGAAAAATTGAAAATATCACAGTTTAAGAATCACAGTTTAAAGATCACAGTAAAAGATTAAAAGATTAGTCTGAGTAGAATTCCCCAAGACTGTAATAGGCTTTGGTTTCCAGAAATCTCTTTAAAGTTTTTCTAAATTGTCCATAGTCCTCCACACCCTTTATTTCGTCTGGCAGCTTGTTGAAGATCTTTATGCTCTCATATATAATAGAATTTTTCGTTAAGGCAAATTTCGAAATGGGTAATGGAAAATTTTGGTTGCGTAGGTTGTAACCAGTGTCTCTCACTGTATCATTATTTTTAAATTTTTTAAATATTAGACGTTTTCAAAAGGAATATGCAGGGAACTGTCAAAATTCTTTCCCGTTTAAAAAGTGGTCTGCAGCTCTGTCCGTACCCTGCATGGCAAATATATCTTACTGCTCTTTTTTGTAGTACAAACACCGATTGAATAGAGTTTTGAGTGGAAAACCCCCAGAATGCTATTCCATAGCGAAGATGCGATTCGATCAGTGCATGATATGTTGTTTTCGCGGCAGGCTTACCCAGTTCATGTGCTATAGATTTAACTATATAACACCCTTGTGAAAGTTTTTTATTCAATAAATCTATGTGTTTGTCGAATCGCAGCTTCGAATCTATGTGCAATCCAAGAAATTTAGCTGTTTCTTTCTCTGCGATAACATTTTCATCTAGTGGAATATTTTCAATGCTACATTTAAATGTTACAATACTTGTTTTCGACACATTAAACACCAGACGATTACAAGCACACCACTCCTTAACCAACAGTAATTCCCTTTCCATAATTTCCGCAAGAACTGCGGCGTTTTTGTTTTTCCATAGAATGGTCGTATCGTCGCAGAAAATCACAAAAAGACCCCCAATGGGCAGGTTTGCTAAGTCGTTTATATAGACTAAGAAAAGTATTGGTCCAAGTACAGATCCCTGAGGATAAGTTATTCTTTTTCTTTCAGAGTCTTTTTTTTGTGCTCTAACGAACTGACTTTTTCCCTCAAGGTACGACCCGAACCAATCCAATTCCTTCCCCCTAATACCATAGTGATCAAGCTTCCTCAGCAGTATCCCGTGATCCACGCAGTCAAACGCCTTAGAGAAATCACAGAATACTGCCGCGGCCCTTTCTCCATCATTTAATCCCAGAAAAAGATTTTCAAGAAACATAAAAATGGCATCGTGCGTTCCTTTCTTTTCCTGGAAACCAAACTGCTCTGGATGCAATATGTTGTTTCCCTTCAAATACTCCAAGAGCCTAATCTTAACAATCTTCTCGACTATCTTTGATAGAGTTGTCAGCAGAGAAATCGGGCGATAGAGGAGTCTGTTTCGTTGCCTCCCTTAAAAACTGGAATAATCACGGCAAGTTTTAAACAGTCCGGAAACATTCCCGCTGTGAAAGACTGATTTATACACTCAGTAAGACTATTAAGTGCTGCTTCAGGGAGATTCTTAAAGATTTTCATAGATAGACCATCAACGCCCGAGGAATTCTGTTTTTTCATATCGTTAATTATGTTTTTCAGTTCATCCACATTTGTTGGTGTCAAAGGAAAACACTCTTTGACTGAAAATGGCGTCAAGAAGGTAACCGGATCACGATTTATTTTTAAGTCTTTCGTTAGATTATCTGCTATGGAACAGTAAAAGTTACTAAGTTCCTCTGGTTCAATTTGTATTTTGTTTGTAGATTTATTGGTTTTTCCACGAAGTTCGTTGATTATTCTCCAATACTCCCTAACAGCATTATTTGCATCGTTAATGCGCCCACGGTAATATTGCCTTTTTGCTACCCTAATTAATTTTTTATAAATTTTTCGGTAAAGATTGAAATAATTATTGAACCACTCCGAATTTATGAATTTCCTAACAGTATGCAGAGATTGAAGATTTCGTCCAGAAACCTTCAAACCCCCTGTTATCCATACCTTTCTAGCCTTGGTCTTCATTTTTCTAAGAGGGAAACTTTGATTGAAAATACTCTGTACAGACTTCTGAAAGTCTTCGAAAGGATTGCTGCTGCTCCGAATATTTTCCCAATCTATATTATGGGCCAACTGTCTGAACGCATTAAAATTATTTGTGCTAAACACTCTACCTACTTTTGCTACTCTCCCGCGCTCATCGCCGTACACCAAAATTTCCACCGAAAGCGCTTCATGGTCTGAAATGCCAGAAGGAATAACATCACACCTAACATCACTTTCTTCAATGTTACTACATACATAGTCAGTCAATAATCGTTTCAGAGTGATCCGTAATACGTGTCGGTTCATTGATAAATACTTGCAGAAAATCTAACGGCTTTCCGGAAGGCGGTCTATAGACACAAAGTAAAATAATCAATTTCTTAATTTGTACAACAGAGAATTCAAATTCATTTGGTTTAATAAGAAAGTTATAGCCGTCCAAACTCTCAACATCACTAAAAAAGTTGTCATTCACCAATATCATTGTTCCTCCGTATCCATTACATCTGCAGTATCTAGACGCTACCTTGTAGGTACTGTGAAACATGACATAACTCGCCCTCCTTAAGCCAATGCTCGGTCAACAAAACAAAAGAAGGCATATTCAAATCATTCAATAAAATAGCTAGTTCATCTAATTTCTCTCGTGATGATTGAATATTCAATAAAAATAGTGAAACTTTGCATTTGATATGCTGAAGTGAATTAGAATTTTTAGCGCTGCTTTCAATATTTGAACTGGGCTCCAAAGTTTGGGCGTTAACTAAGACATTAAAAAATGACTCGAAATAAGTTCTGATATTTTTTCAGCTATCTTCGATTTTGCAATATTTTTTGAATTGTTCCGATAAAAGGTAAAAAAGGACGAGTTTACAAAAGAATTCAAATTCAAGAAAAAAT